ACCGTGGATCAATGGAGTAGTACGTCCCCTTATCAGGCAAGAATGCCGTAAAGAGGCTTGGCGTTCGGCACGGCGAACTCCTTGGCACTCTTCTGCAGCTGCTTCTCGGCCTTGGCCTGCTTCTTGAGCTTGGCGAGTTCGATGTCGCGCGCCATCTTGCGGCGGTACATCTCGGCGAAGGTGATGGGCTCCTCCAGTATGGGCGCCTCCCCGTCCCGCACCGCCAGCGGGTACACTGTCGCGTCGGGCGCCGGGTTCTGGAACGTGGCGATGGACAGGCGGCTGCACTGAGAGTTCACCACTGCCTGGTGATCCGCCTTCTTGAACCTGCCGTTGCTCAGGAGCTGCACACGAACGCATGCACGTTCATTGGTCGTCATACGTAAGCACCAGCTAGCAAACGGCAAACGGTGATCCAGGTCCGGCCGCCGTCGCAAACGGCAAACGAACGAACGGAGACTACTCACGTGGCCGTGGTCGCCGAGGTTGACGACGAAGGCGCCCTCGACGGGCTGCACGGTGATCCAGGTCCGGCCGCCGTCGCGCGTGGCCTGGAGGCCGCCGACGAGGTCCTGCAGCAGCAGCGTGATGGTGCCGGGGTCGGTGTGGCGCTTGAGCCCCAGCGTGAGGTCCGGCTGTGCGGGCACCTCGGGTAGAAGTTGACTACCACCTTCTGGTCCATGTCCACGCAGGCCTTGGCGAGCGCGTCCGTCTCCAGGCCCATCGCCTCGGAGAGCACGCCCAGGAGCTTGCACGACAGGTCCATCAGCTGCTCGCTGTACCGCTCCACCACCGCCCGCCATGCCGCCGGCTTGTCCGGCCACCGCGAGTAGTCGCGGGCCTTAACCGGGTACGAGAAGTAGGTCACGATCTCACGCCAGTCCTGCACCTGCACCACCTCCCCCTGCAAAACCAAATATAAGCGTACGCTTACGCGTACATACACGCCAGTCACGCATATATACCTGGAGGTGGCTGGAGACGATGAAGCCGCCCTTCTTGCCGCCGGACATGTCGAAGCGGAGCTTGTCCTCGGCCGGGAGCGCGAAGAAGTCGCGCGCGAGGCGCCCCATGTCGGCCACGAGCGCGGCGTCCACGCCGTGGTCCACCACCTGGAAGATGCCCCAGTCCTCGCAGGCGGCGGCCACGCGGTCGCGGATCTCGGCCCGGCGCGCGCCCCCGTCGTCGATGCCCTCGAGCGACACCACCGGCACCTCGTCGCTGAAGCGGTCGTGCGGCACCTTGGGGCGCTCGTTCTCCTCGCGCACGAACGACGCGCGCAGCGTCGCCTCCCCGGACGCCGCCGTCGGGAGGAACGGCACCGCGCTGATGCTGACCGCGGCCATGGGCCTGCTATGCGTCCTTTTCCTCTCGTCGACGTACGCGCCGCCGCCGCCGATCGGATCGTGATGATGCTCCGGGACACGCTGCGCCGTTTGCCGCTGCTGCTTTATACCACGGCCTGGGCGGCGTTAGCGTTATATAGCAGCATGATGTGGAGACGCGAGACACGCAGGGCCGCCACGTTACCTAGGCGCTGGCTGGCTACTGGCTTCTGCTGCAAGTCGTAGCTTGACAGTACATCCACGCGACCCATGCTCAAAACTGCAAGTTTTTTTAATTGTTTCAACTAGAAAAACTGTGCACAACAGTACTCCACTATTTTATCGAGTACTAGCTATGTATCCTTGCTATTTGTAGTATGGCAAGTGTGCTGCCTAACTCCCAGTCATGTACGTAGCTACCGTTCCACACCTCGTAACGGGCGCTCGTGTACGTAGCTACCGGTCCACACCTCGTGCGGTCCAGTAGACATGTTAGCGTAGTACTATGAAGATGTTGTGGCTGAGCGCGCGTACGTGTACACCAGTTCGGGAACGCATCTGCACGCAACGCACGATAGGTCGCGTGGTTCTGACCTCGGGGGTGCTGGTTTGGTTTCAAAACAGAAAGGCCAAAAACCGGTAGAATTCATTCATTGATAGGCACTGCCGATTAGCTGTACAGGACTGTCAAACTGGACATTCGGTTTAAACCGAAAGTTCGGTTCGGTTTATGAAAACTTTGAATTTACACCAATTAGAAGCCGTTCGGTTTATTTTAGAACTAAAAACCGATAGGTTCCGTTTTGGTTCTTTACTTCGGGTTTCAGTTAAAACTAAGTAGACCGAAGTTCTTCGCATAAATAAAAACCCCTCCCCCTCCTCTCTCTACACACACACACGGTCGTTAACTCAGCTCACATTTGCCACCACCACCGCACACCAGGTTAAACCCCCAATCGCTGATGTAGCACGCCAGACGCCGCCCCCACCCACCTTAGGATGGCAATGGGTAAATCCCCATCGGGTATGGCCTCCCCCCGCATAAATCCCGTACCATAAAAATTTGAATACCCAATACCCATACTGGTGGGTGGGGATTTTCCCAGACCCATACCCGCCGGTAAATCATACCGGCGGGTCACCCGCACGTACATGAAAAATCAACAATTCAACAGCAACGCCACTAACCGGCGCCGTTCTTGGATCCGCCGGAGGGACTTCGTCCGAATCTTGCAACTGACTGTTCACCTCGCGACGACACTCGATCCGGCGGCTTCAGGGTCACCATCCTCCAGACCTCCACGAAATCCCTTGACACCGAGAGCAAGCTGGTTAGTGGATCCCGCTAGCCTTCACTCCCATGCGCTGTTGCAAGTGCAAAGAATATGATATGGAGGGAAGGAGAACAGGGCAATCACCATTCTGGGGAGTTGCTCCATCGCCAGTGGCGTGGCGAGTTCCTAGCACTTGACGCGATGCGAGTTTGAGCGCTCTGGGCTATGACGAGTGACTTTTCATGGAACGGTGGTGATTGGGTGCTGTGATGCCAATGCTAGTACGCCAGCGAGACGCGAGGGTAACGATGCGCGCTTTACTCACGCGCCTTTTTTTTTGGGGCGGGAGGCCGGTCCCTCGGCGGTCGAGGGCTCCACCACTCTGGGACCGGGCGGGTGAACCTGGGTTTACATGGGCATGTTTTTAGTTTTGGGCGGTATTTTGGTGGATAACTCGCCACACCGCTTTGGAACATACCCATACCCGCATTGGGCGGGTGAAGGTTTGGTCCATTTATGTACCCGTAGGTAGTGTGTTTAGTCCATATTTAGACCCTAATAGAGTAAATACCGGCGCCATGCCCATTGCCACTTTAGTTCAATTTTGCCGCCCAACCTCACCTGCCAAAAGTGCGCTCCGCAAGAGCGGATTTCAACGCCTTCACTCCCATGCGTTGTTGCCAGATGGAGATGGAGACGGGGTCACGGGATGGGGAGCTCTAAGTAGCGCAGTTGCTAGCTGCGCTCTGTCTATGACTAGTGACTCCATGGCTTTGTCTATGACTAGTGGCTCCATGGAACGGTGGGAGTGGGTTGGGCCGCGTAATTGGGCCGAGGTGGGCTACCACTCTTTGCTGCATGTTTAAGGGCATGTTTGGATGGTGGCTGCACTACGCCACACCGCGCCGCACTTTGGGCAGTCATTTGCTTCACTATCATAGTTGTGGCTAGGAAGTAGTCTCCATAGTTCAATTTTGCCGATGAAGCCCAACGCCGCACTTTCGGCGTGGACACAGATGCGGCGTGGCGTCGAGTCAAAATCACTAGAATTTGAGGAAGAGCAGCGCATCCCTCAAGCGGTCGCTGGGAAGTAGTCATTCGCTCGATGAAGCCCACAACTGCTAGATCGAAGTCAAAATCGCTAGAATAGAGGAAGAGCAATCACGCGAATATGCTTCCCAAAAACCTGATCATCCGTCTACCCATGCAGGTACATAGACGGACGGAGCTTCGGAGGCCTACTCACCTAAGCCCCTTGTGCGCGCAAGAGCTCGGACTAGAGATTGCAGACAACATCTTCAATCTCAAGAACACAGTGGAGTGAGGAGGAAGATGAAGTCGTGGTTGTCCTAGAGAAGGGGCGATGCCTTTAAGCAGGTTCAGGATTGAGGACGGAATGAACCTAGACAGATTCTAGAGGGGCAAAAGCATAAATACGTGCCTGACCTGCTGCCAGTGCCTAGCTCACACGTTTTACCTATTTGCCCTTCTGTGTCCACCAATTTATCCATTGTCCTTGTTGACCGCTGCCTGGACCATGTGACCATTGGATGAGGTCCAAAATGACGTCCAACTGTGGGCGTGGGCGCAACACAACTTGGCTTGGCCCCAACTCTCCTTCTCAAGTTGTCTATCGCAGGACACACAACTTGGCACTAGTTTCTTATTTAAGTTGAACACTTTCTTAGTGAGTATACTATGTGATACTAATCCCACTCTTACTTAGCATTCATTGTGTGCCTTTGGAGTTCTTTGATTAATTGGTAGACTAGTTATGAGCCAAGCCCAAATAATCCAATCCCACCAAATTTCAAAGGCGCCATGCCCCTGTTTCAGACGATCTATTCTGCTGGAGTATTTACTAAATCAAAATCTCTTCTTATTTTCAGATGCACGTTTTCTTGCCAGATCAAACAAGATTGTCTTATCTTCACGCACGCATGCCAGATTTCACTATGATAAGACTGTCTTATTTTCAGACACACTATGATAATGTTGTACTATACTAGAGATTATGTCAGATTTCACGCATACTGAGTGCCACGGCACTGCGCCGTGTGGAAGACTTTCTTTTCTATCTTAATACAAAGACAAAGATATGTGTAGACATATATAGCTCTCGTGTATTAAAAAACAAAGATTTTACATGGGTCATCCGTCCATGTATCTGGAACTGTAGATCTGAGAATTAATATATGAAATGCATTTCTAAAGAAAAAGAAAGAAATGCATAGTCGTCTCACAGGCACACTAGCAGGAGCAGCGCTGCCTTAATTTCAGTTTCCAGTTTTCCACACATTATTTCATAGCGCTTGCCACACTCGTATATAGCTATGTTCTTAATTATAAATGAAATCACACGCGACAATATAAACCGTGGATCAATGGAGCAGTCGCCTTATCAGGCAAGAATGTCGTCGAGAGGCTTGGCGTTCGGCACGGCGAATTCCTTGGCAGTCGGCACGGTGAACTCCTTGGCATTCGGCGCGGCGAACTCCTTGGCACTCTTCTGCAGCTGCTTCTCGGCCTTGGCCTGCTTCTTGAGCTTGGCGAGCTCGATGTCGCGCGCCATCTTGCAGCGGTACATCTCGGCGAAGGTGATGGGCTCCTCCAGTATGGGCGCCTCCCCGTCCCGCACGGCCAGCGGGTACACCGTCGCGTCGGGCGCCGGGTTCTGGAACGTGGCGATGGACAGGCGGCTGCACTCGGAGTTCACCACCGCCTGGTGGTCCGCGTTCTTGAACCTGCCGTTGCTCAGGAGCTGCACACGAACGCATGCACGTTCATTGGTCGTCATACGTAAGCACCACCAGCTAGCAAACGTCAAACGGTGATCCAGGTCCGGCCGCCGTCGCAAACGGCAAACGAACTAACGGAAACTACTCACGTGGCCGTGGTCGCCGAGGTTGACGACGAAGGCGCCCTCGACGGGCTGCACGGTGATCCAGGTCCGGCCGCCGTCGCGCGTGGCCTGGAGGCCGCCGACGAGGTCCTGCAGCAGCAGCGTGATGGTGCCGGGGTCGGTGTGGCGCTTGAGCCCCAGCGTGAGGTCCGGCTGCGGGCACCTCGGGTAGAAGTTGACTACCACCTTCTGGTCCATGTCCACGCAGGCCTTGGCGAGCGCGTCCGTCTCCAGGCCCATCGCCTCGGAGAGCACGCCCAGGAGCTTGCACGCCAGGCCCATCAGCTGCTCGCTGTACCGCTCCACCACCGCCCGCCATGCCCCCGGCTTGTCCGGCCACCGCGAGTAGTCGCGGGCCTTAACCGGGTACGAGAAGTAGGTCACGATCTCACGCCAGTCCTGCACCACCTCCCCCTGCAAAACCAAATATAAGCGTACCCTTACGCGTCCATACACGCCAGTCACGCATATACACGCATATATACCTGGAGGTGGCTGGAGACGATGAAGCCGCCCTTCTTGCCGCCGGACATGTCGAAGCGGAGCTTGTCCTCAGCCGGGAGCGCGAAGAAGTCGCGCGCGAGGCGCGCCATGTTGGCCACGAGCGCGGCGTCCACGCCGTGGTCCACCACCTGGAAGATGCCCCAGTCCTCGCAGGCGGCGGCCACGCGGTCGCGGATCTCGGTGCGCCGCACGCCGTCGATGCCCTCGAGCGACACCACCGGCACCTCGTCGCTGAAGCGGTCGTGCGGCACCTTGGGGCGTTCGTCCTCCTCGCGCACGAACGACGCACGCAGCGTGGCCTCCCCCGCCGCCGCCGTCGGGAGGAACGGCACCGCGCTGATGCTCACCGGGGCCATGTGCCTTCTCTGCGTCTGCGTCCTCCTCTCGTCGACGTACGAGCCGCTGCCGCTCAGGTCGTGATGCTCCGGGACACGCTGCCGTTTGCCGCCGCCGCTGTTTACCACGGCCTGGGCGGCGTTAGCGTTATATAGCGGCATGGGGTGGAACGCTAGCTAGCCGAGAAGGAGATCCACGAGACTGTTGCACACCCACTGTTCCACTATGTACGGAGACGTTTAGTCTAGTTCAAAGAAAGAAAGAAAAAACGTGCACTAATACTGCCAGATTTTATTTGTTTTTCTTTAAGAAATCGAGTTATATCCTTGCTATTTGTAGTATGGCAAGTGTGCTGGCTAACTCTCAGCCTCGTGCAGCTACCGTTCCACGCCTCGTGCTATGTTAGCGGAGAATGAAGACGTTGTGGTGGCTGAGCACGCGTGTTATGTTACGCATTTCTCCTATATATATTTCAAGTGATTTATTTGTTTTATTATTGTTCAAGCAACATATCATTTTATCATTGTTCGACTATAAAAAAAATAAATTATCTAGTACAAATTCAAATATAGCAAGATAGTTTTTGCGTCAGGTCATTGTAAGCCGGTGGCCACAGGGTACGATCTCGAAAAAAAAATTGTAAGCCGGTGGCGTGCATGACTGCAGACTGCAGGTATAGGAGCACGCCGACCAGTTCGGGAACAACGCATCGGCAGCGCGATCGAGCTAGCCATCACGCACGGTCGCACGCAGTGCATGATAGGTTGCGCGGCTCTTGGCCCGGGGGCAGACGGTTAGGTGTCGTGCGGCGCGGGTGCTTTGAAGGGTTGGTGGGCGGGGGCAGCGGGCAGCCGGACCGGACAGGCCCAAATCGCGTGATCCCCCACCAGCCGGTCGCGAGCCGCAGCAGAAATAAATTGGCCAGGGCCGTCAGGTACAGTGCCGAGGTAGTCAGGTGAGCATGGCGCGGCCGACTCTTGAAAGCTCGTGGCGTTGGAATCGTGTTTTCCGGTGGCGCAACCAGCACGTAGAGATCAGATCCAGAACCATGTCTCTTTTATTATTTCATTCAATTTTTTTGGTACATCCAGAATCAGGTTCCAATTCCAACACCATGACATAAAATTGGGATGACAAGAGCATATGACAAGTCGTGATCCATCGAAACACGTCGAGCAAGTCCGCTTTGTCGACACAGTAAGCTGATTCAACCCGCAACAGAAGCTGTCCCGACTAAAGCCTTGTTCGGATGCATATATATCTACTTCAATCATGTGTGTTGGGGTGGAATGAAATAAAATTTAGTTTAATTTCACTTTAATCCACTTCAACACATGTAGATTGAGATAAATACATGCACATCCAAACAGACACAGTAAGCTGATTCAACCCAAAACAGAAGCTGGAATGGTATCGCCTAATTTACAAGAACGTACGACATTCCGTTGGCCAATGGAACACACAGTATATCCGAGTAATTTTCTTTACTGATCTCGATCAGCGCAGGCGTGCAGTATCAATTCAACAGTACAACAATGGCCGGAGTGATCTCCACTAAAATTTCAACAACAAATGACAATGCAAAAACAATCTAGACGTAAGAATAACTATATCCTTTTTGGCACGGTTGTAACTATTGCTATTCTTTTTATTTGAAGTGCCGTACAAGTGACATGGTGGTACAACACGAGAGAACCAAAACCCTGTTGGTGCTTTCTTGTGACATCCTCGGTACAGTCTTGCAGGTGACAAATTTGCACCTGAGAAGAGCAACGGACATTATCAGTGGTAATCATGCTAGACCAGTAGATTGGCAGACATTGCCATTGCTGGATAGTAACTCCCAGCCACACAATTTTTTCCTTCTCTAACGATACGATTCATATCGCAGAACCAGCTGTATCTAAAACATTCTGTAAGAAGCATGCCTTGGCAGAAGGGTCGGTCAAAAACTGGCCCAAAACTGCAATTGTTGCCGTGTTGCTCCTTATTTTCTCTACCCCCTTGAGATCATGCAAATGTGGTTGGCCTCAACAACGACCATGGCCCCACTGTGTGAAACTGAATAAACTGCTTCAGCTATCTGCCTTGTCATCCTTTCTTGAACCTGAAGCTTGCACCCATAGAAATGAACCAATGCCTGAAAATGCGACCGATCAATGCCTTCTCCGCTTCCATTGTCAAAGTACCCAATGTGAACTATTCCGTAGAAGGGCAGAAGATGGTGTTCACATTGAGCACAAAATGGCAAATGCAGCTCAGATCGGATTGCTCCATGATCAGTTGTGCCTCCACCTGGCCTCTCATATAAGCTAACATTACTAAGTGTAAATCCATTCAGCTTCACATCTAGTAGATTACATGCTCTGAACTTCATCAGCCACTGCACATAACGCTGAGGAGTGCCTAACAGCTCTTTCCTGAGGGGGTCCTCTCCAAGTGATAAGAGCATCGAGGTAACAGCAGAAACCATGCCATTAGTTGAGCTTTTCTTGCAGAGCCCATTAGAGAGTGGAGCCTCATGAGACCTTAAGGGGCACCAAGGAATAGAGACAGAATGGTCCTCAGCCTCCATGTCTATGCCCCTAAGCTTAAGAAGAGCCAGGAAGTCACTCCAGAAAGTGCTGCTGTCACCCTCAAAAACTCCAGAGCGAGATGAATGTGAAGTTCTAATCCAGCCTTGCAAAGCCTTGCATTCCAAATTTTCTGGCAAAGGAATGTGCCAGCACTGCAGAGCAACAGCTGCACCAGCAGGTTGAATGCTAGCATGCAGTGCACCACAAACTTCATTAGCTAGTCTTTGAGGGTTTTGCAATCTCTTGGCAAAGACATCAGATACTCTGGAAAGCTTGCTTAACCCAACAACCCTTCCACCTGAGGGAACATACCCAACATGGCACTGTATGCTGAATGGAAGCAAGCATGACTCACAGTATGAGAAAAGTTCAATATCTCGAACAACTACTTGCCCGCCAGTTCCACCAGCAGACCCAGTCCTTTTGTCCACACCAACCTCTGGAAACAGAGCACCCTGCACAATGTCCTTTACTTTTTGCCTGTAACCTGTAGATTTAGATATATGTTAAATACAGATCAGGAATCAATTGAAAGAAAAATAGAGATGATGAATAAGAACCCAAACATCTTCATTAAAACAAAAGGTTGTGCAAAAAAGAAAAGAAAACAGGAAACACATCCGCACAGATGTCACTCTTTGCGAAGCTATCATCAGAATTATGGTGGTGCACCACACAAGCAACATATGGAATTTTCTCGTCTTACATGGTGAGTATTAGTCAATTTACTAGCAAATTTCTGGTACACCCTGGTGACCAGGGTAACCCAACGTGGCTTCACCCCTGGTGGTATAAACAGTTCTGTCTCCTTCAATAAGAACACCATGACAACCTCTATTACACATGACTTGCATGGGAAGAGATTATCCAGATTTCACATGATTTTTTTTAGTAGAACAAGAATGTTGTGGTTCATGTCAGGAATTCAAAACATAATAAACTTTATCATTTTCAGACGAGATTAGCACAAATTGTTGAGTAGAAGACTGCCAATTACTCCCATGTGAAGAATCTTAAAGCACAGAAGAAAGATTTATTGCCCCAACAAAGGCAGGATATATCAGCTCCAAAGTGAGGTTGGGCATTGGACAATAATTTCTGGTTGATCAAATTGTTCAATTCCATTCAATCTGTAATTTTATAGTACCAGAGAGACAGAGCTTCTTAGCAGCTAAAGCCTACAGCAGAAGTGTAGTAAATGAAAAAGCTTGAATATGTCAAATTTCCAGCCGTTTTCAGCTTTGGAGAAGAGGCAGCGGCCCACTGACCTAACCTTGGCTTGTTTGCTCAAAGTTACAATTTATACTGGGAGAGGAGTTAAGCTCTTAGCAGGTCCACATTTTTATAATTGAATACATAAGGCAGTACTTATTTCGAAAGAAACAAGCAGTAATCAAAATACCAAAGCCAAGTGTAATATAGCTGACAATGGCCATTAATAATACAGGACTAGAAAAGAACATGACAAGTAAAAAGTCTCATGTTTCAGATGAGGAGATATAATAATGGATAAAAAAGGTTCCCATTGTCTAGTGGAAGACATCAAAGAAAAGAAAAACACAGAATGAGGTTCTTTCATATACTTCCACAGACTACAGGTAACTCTTAATTTTTCGCCTGTAGTGAAAAATGATTTTCAAATACTTTAAAAAAACTGATCAATTTTAAACACACCAGACGAAATTATCAATTTTAAAAACTGAACAAAATGATTCTCAATTAAAGACCATTCAATGACCGAATTTATCGATGTTCTTGCCCATTCTGAGGTAGTCATTAATTCCAAAACCCTTCAGAGTTCATGAATAAGGAAATACATAATACCATAAACAACTAGATGTCTATGTACATCTTAAATCAAGAATGCTCTTATAAAATAATAAAAAAGTCAAGTAAGAGAGATGGGGGGGGCTTCAACTGATAAAGATCTCTAATAATCAGTAGCTGATTAAAAGGTAGTGAAACTGAAGAGCGAGAAATGGACAGTACCTAGGAATGATAAAACTTAAAATTACAGCAACAAAGCAATGCAATTAAATCACATTAATAATTTGTGTCAGAACTCAGAAGTGCTGATGTTCTGAGTAGTAGAGGGAAAAAGGCCATGAAGTGGACGAGCTAGTGGCTTATGTTGAGATTTAACATGTATGAAGTCGTCAGTGAAGGACACAATAAAAAGTCAACGACTATTTAGTGGCAAGTAAAGTCTCCACACATCACTATCCTAAATCTTAATTACAAAAGCCCTCCAGTGTATTGTAGCTTCTGACAAAAAACGCAAATACACCACAGCCATAACGGTTAACTATGAAATTTCCTAATGATATAGCTTGAGATAAGCTGGACTACAAACCAGAAGACACTGATAAGATTGGCAGTCTCTCACACTGGACAGGACACACAAGTTCATCGTAGTAATAACAGTGTAGCAGCCACCAACCCAGGTCCTCTATGTACTCGCGTCAAAGAAGCGTTAGGTGGTCGACAGCTAAATTTTCAGCCGCGGCTTGTCATTAGTCAAATACCAGAACCGAAAGCGTGACGACGTGAGGAATTAGTAGTCGACTAAGCCTTACCAGCACGAC